AACTACAGGTGGCCTGGGGGTCCTCCAAAGAGCAGCTGGCATCTGAAGTGAGGGCAGTTTTGTTGGGGACCACACCCTTTGATTTGTGGAGTCTATAACAACTCTGGATGGTTACTGTCAGAATTGTATTGCAGTAAACCAGTTGGTGTCAGAATAGTGACCAATATGATGAGGAAGAAGTGATAGTGAGTGATTTGTGAGGCAAGGTCATAGTCATACAGGGAACTGTGGCTTCTGCCGTCTCTTGCTTGTTGAGGGAGAAGCTAGCCACCATATCACAAGGACACTCAAGCAGCCCTGAAAGAGGCCTACATTGGGAGGAAACATCCCCCTACCCAGCATGAATCCACCAGCCATGTGAATGTGCCACCATGGAACTGGATCAGATGACTTCAACGTTATAAGAGACCCTAAGCCAGAACACCCCAGCTATCTACTTCCAAATTCTTAAGACAGATAGATAATGCATTTTGTTGCCGTTTTAATCCACTAAGTTTTGGGTTATTTGTTATACAGCAATAAATAACTAATACACTTGGCTTTCTCTATGGACAAGGAGAATGATCTATCATAGGAATTAATACTCCTTTCTTATTTTGCTATGTAAGTAATAAATTCAGAATACATTTCACAAAATAAAATGGATACTATTATCACTGTCAATCAAATTCAGTTTTTAATAAGTCTCTTATTAAAAACAGCTTGCTGGGATAGGTGGAAAGTTTCTGTCCCCAGACATGGATACACTATACTTTACAAATGTAAAATCACTGCCTGAACAAAAATGTAACTTTTCAGTCATTTATCAAATATTTATCGAGTGTTTCCTTTCTTTTAAAAATTTTGTTTATTTGAATAGATAATATATGCACATGAGATGAAAAGATAAAATGGGATAAACAGTGTTTCTTGTATGTCCCTTTGGAGATGGCTACGTAACATCTGTATAGATATATTTTTCCCCCACAAATAAAAGCACACTATATATTGTTCTGCACCTTGCTTTTTCTGTTAATGTATCTTAGAGATCATTCCATATCAGAACTAAAGCTACCTTGTAAGTACAGAAATACCTAAATTTATTTATAGCAGTTCCCTCTATATGGGTATTTAGATTGCTATCAGTGTCATGCTATATTAATGTTAAGTTTCTATTATTGTCTACTTGGACTTAAAGTTCTAAATCTAAGTGATAAAGCCTTCTCCACTCCAGAGACATATAATAAATACTATCATCTAAAGGGCATATTACCCCATCAGTTTTTATTCTTCTTCTTACTATGGAAATATATAGAGTGACATACATATACATGTAAGAGTTTTTTCCTTACTTTTTTCAATTTTTTTATTGTGATAAAATATAATTTACCATCTTAACCTGTTTAAAGTACACAACAGTTCAGTACTATCAAGTACATTCATACTGTTGTGCAATCATCACTACCATCGACCTCCAAAACTCATTTCATCTTCCCAAACTGAAACTCTGTACCTATTAAATGATACCCACCCTCTCCCATCATTCCTCGCTTCTCTGCAGCTGCTGGCAACCACCATTTTATTTCTGCTATGATTCTGACTACTCTAAAGTACCTCACATATGTGGTGTATAAGGTTTTGTTTTGTTTTGTTTTTTCAAAGAGATGGGTCACTACGTGCCCAGGCTGGAGTGCAGTAACTATTTATAGGCGCAATCATAGTACAATGCAGCTTCGAACTCCTAGCCTCAAGTGATCCTCCTGCCTCAGCTGCCCGAGTACCTGGGACTACATAATCTTTAAAGCAGTTGTACACTGAATGGTTTTCATAGAATACAATCAAGGTATATAATTAAGTAGGTGTTATGGGTTGAATTGTGTCCTCCTAAAATTCATGTGTTGAAGTCCTAGCCTCTAGTACCTCAGAATGTGACCTTATTTGGAAATAGGGTCATTGCACATGTAATTAGTTAAGATAAAGTCTTACTAGAGTAGGGTGTGCCCCAACCCAGTATTACTGGTGTCCTTATTAAAGGGGGGAACTAGGACACAGACCACACGAAGCGAGAAATCGATGTGAAGACTGGAGTTACGCTGCCACAAGGCAAGGAACCAGAAAAAGCTAGAAGATTGTACTAGAACAGATCTTTTCCTAGTGTCTTCAGAGGGATGGTCCTGCTGACACTTTTGATTTTGGATGTCTGACCTCTAGAACTTTGAGACAATAAATTTCTGTTGTCTAAGCTACCCAGTTTGTGGTACTTTCTTACAGCAGGCCAAGGAAACTAATACAGTAGGTATGAAGCCTATTTTGTAGATATAAGGTACTCTGTCAGTTAAGAAAGCACATAACTCTTGCTCTTTGAGCAACAGAACCTACTTTACTTCTGTGATAAATTCAGAAGATATCAACATTTGGCACAAAACAGACATATATCTGGGAATGTTAAACATGAACTGAAAAGTTTTCTAGAAATTGAAGATTAAAATATCATTTATCTCTAATTAAAACTTAAGTAAATATATTCTAAAATTTGCCTAGCTGTAGAGAAAAGTAAACTCTTGTTCACTGTTTCTGGGAATAGACTGGTATAGCCACTATGGAAAATAGTATGGAAGTTTCTAAAGAAATTAAAAATAGAACTAACATATGACCCAGAAATCCCTCTTCTGGGCATATACTCAAATGACATGAAATCATCACCTCATAAAGATTAACTGCACTCCCATGTTCACTGAAGAATTATTCACAATAGCCAAGATAAGGAAACAACCTAAGTGTCCATCAATGGATGAATGGATAAAGATACTGTAGAAACTAGGGTACATATATACCATGGGATATTATTTAGTCCTAAAAAAAAGAACAAGATCTTGTCATTTGCCACAACATGGATGAGCCTGGAGGACATTATGCTAGGAGAAATAAGCTAGACAAAGAAAGAAAAATATTACATAATCTCATTTATATGTGAAATCTTAAAAAAAAAATCAGAGACAGCAATAGAGAACAAAACAGTGGCTGGGGGATAAGATATTGAGAGATGTAGGTCAGAGGATATAAAGTAGCAGATACGTAGGATGAACAAGTCTAGATATCAAATGTACAATATGAGAACTATAGGTTATAAAATTATACTATAAATGGGATTCATGCTAAATGAGTAAGATTTTAGCTGCTCTTGCCACAAAAAAAAAGGGTAACTGTGGAAATGATGGATATACTAATTTGCTTTACTATAATATTTTTACTATTTTTAGGTTGTTCCATAACATCATGCTATATACCTTAAATATACACAATAAAATTTATTTAAATAAATAAATTTGTCCAGTAACATCTTTTTAATTAGGTAATTTCCTTCAATCTAATTAAATCTGTATTTTTTCTTTACCCATTAAAAATTACTGAGGCTGGGTGCAGTGGCTCATGCCTCTAATCCCAGTGCTTTGGGAAGCCAAGGTGGGAGGACTGCTTGAGGCCAGGAGTTCTAGACAAGCCTGGGCAACATATCGAGACCCCTCTCTTTACAAAAAAATAAGAAAAATTAGTGCACACCTGTATCCAGTGGGGATGACAGAGCAAGACTGTCTTAAAAAAAAAAATTACTGGTTTGGGCAAATGATCAAGTTTTTTTTCCTTACCTATTTGTTGAAAAATAAAAGATTTAACTTAAATATCAATAATTTACAGTCTATTTTTTTTTTTTAAATTGTGATAAGCTCTTGCTCTGTCACCCAGGCTAGAGTGTAGTGGCATGATCACAGCTCACTACAGACTCTCACTCTAGGGTTCAAGCAATCTTCTTGCCTCAGCCTGTGAGTAGCTGGGACTACAAGAGCAAACTACTACACGCGGTTAACTTTTTATTATTTTTTTGTATACACAGGGTCTTGCTATGTTGCCCAGGCTGGTATCAAACTCCTAGATTCAAGCAATCCTCCCACCTAAGCCTCCCAAAGTCCCTGTCCTACAGTCATTTTTGAAGTTCATCTTCTATTGAAGCTAATGGCTTATTGTTCCACTTCTATCTAGCTATTTTCAAGCTGCTTAAACAGCACTTGTAATGATTAGCCCACTATTACTTACTTTCCAAGTCCTGAGTTCAGCATTTTGTTTTTGAGATGAATATAAAAGCACCTAAAGGTCAAGGAAAATGTTCTTCCTGTGATAAGCAACCTGAAAATAAAAAGAAAATTAAGGATATAGGCCTCGCTGGTGGTAAATACATTAGTGTACAAAATTATTCAAATAAACCAAGCCATTCCAAAAAAACATTACTATCATAAGCTATTCAAAAGGAACAATAAGAAAGCAATTACTCTCTACATGCACTGGCATCATTTTTAAAAGATGTCAGAACTCTTGAAGCAGTGGTTCTCAAGTTTTTATGAAAGGAACACTGTTCCCTTTGAGAATCTGCTGATATTATGGACCCTCTTCTTCCTGCAAAAATGTATAATTATGTATAAAATTCCCAGTAGTTTATAGTCCCCTACTAAGGACTTTTCCTTTAGTGTCCATGAGCACTTCCCCTGTAAGGCAGGGAGCAATAATGTTCCATTCCTTTCCTCTGGCCTGTATCTTTTTTTTTTTTCCTATGAGACAGAGTCTTACTCTCTTGCCTGGGCTAGAGTGCCGGGGTGTCAGCCTAGCTCACAGCAACCTCAAACTCCTGGGCTCAAGCGATCCTT